ATCTTTATTTGATAAAAATCGGTTCAGAGACGGCTGAAATATAACGATTTCAAATACTTGTGTACCACCACAAATATTATATATTTTGAAAAATTTGAAAAAAAACCCGTTGAAAAAAACGAAATCAACGCTTTTTACATTGTATTTCAGCCAATGCCTATGTTGGCTTTTTTGTTGGCATTTTTGTGGTGCTTGTATTACCCACAATTAGCCGGCTCATGTATTGTAATTTTGATTAAATAATTAATTAACGGTCACCATGTTTTTTTTTAAGTGGAGCTGAATTGGAGTAGAGCTAAAATTACCTTCATAGCAATTTTAAGTTCTAAAAGGGCACTATGTCATAGATAAAAATAAGAGCAATAACCATGCACTTTGAAGGCATTTGCGGTCTGAAAACAGAACTCAACTTTCCCTTTAACTATTATTAAGCTCATTATAAATGGGCGTGTTTATCGGGGCTTGCCACTAGATATGTACATATCGTACCCCACTATCATATCCCACTATACGATCGTGATTTGTGGGATGTCGTGTTTATCGTCCCTTCACGATTCAAAATAAAGGCCTTGTGTCTGCCCAGCTGTTTTGACCCGGGAAGCAGACAGTTTCTCGGAGGTCAACTTCACACACATGCTTGTACACAACACCTGGGTGGTCCTATTTGTATGTGAGGTTCAAAACAGCTTTGCGTTTATCGATCTCTCAGAAACGTGATTCTGGCTGTATGTCACATACAAAACACACCTTTTTGCGTCTTTAGATATGCCCATATCTAAAGCCCTTTAAAAAAGGCTTTGCGTTTATCATCTTCTAAATTTGCCTGAAAGACGTTTGAGAAACCTGATTCTAGCCAAAAATTTGGTCGATAAACGCAACCAATGGGAGCTACACTGTACCGTATTATTATCATATCTAAAGGTGCCCTCTCCAAAGAGATAAACAAATTATAAACTGGAAAAAGTTGGGGAGAGGGCGGGGAGGGGGCTTCTGAAAGATAACAACTGAGAGTACTGTGCTCTTCTGACACTTTGTTGTTAATTCCTTAGGACTACTTCCTTCCTTCACACCCTTGACAAATTTCCAGATACATGTATTTGACTTTGCTTAAAGCTTATCTGCCATAGTTTACAGGAGGGATTAGACCGCCCTACAAGGTCACTGGACAGGTGGCTATCTCATCAACTCAGCTCTCACTTAACATAAGAAAAAGAGGATCATGGGAGACCAATGGTCACCGATGAGGCATTGTTTGTTATATAGAGGGCGCAAGTAGCTACAAGTAGTGCAGTGGGCCTTTAATACATTATTAAATCATCTGTTCAGATCTTCAGAGGCAAAAGGGCATTAACTCTGTTTATAAAAGTTTGAGTTACAGAACTTCTGCTCTGGCTCATAATATGATTGCAGGGCCCTCAGGGAGAACAGTATTAATACTGATGAGGCTACCCTGGGAAAACAAGACACATTATTATTGTTTATTACTATTATTATTATTATTAATATCATTATTATAACAGATGATATGTCTTGGTGCCATTAACAATGACCTTGGCCAGGCTTGGTGCCTCCCTTTCTTTTTCTTTCAATAATATTAGGACATGTACACTTGTACAGTGTACATGTACATGTATGTATTTGCCCCCTTTTCAAGGTGCCTAAAATGGAAAGAAGCCATGGCCTTTTGAAAGTGACTAATGAGAGGCCTGATTAATTTTTGACACCTCTGTGAAGCTCAAAAATTTAAATTAAACTACAGTGTACATTGTAATTTGTAACTAAACATACATGTTGTAAAAACTAACCAAAACTTTTCCAGATGATCTTGTTTCTCTTAGTCTCACGAGGTCCACAACAGCAAGCAAAATACACATGTACCGGCAGGCGCGTACGCAGGGGGGTGGTTTTTGGGTTAAACCCCCCCCCCTCGAGTTTTTTTATGTGTATGTTTTTTGTATGTTATTTTGGAAAACCCTCCCCTTTTGATTTTTTTTTTTTTGCCCATTGCCCATTGCCAATGGGTGACCTTAAAAAGGTGACCTTACCCCCCCCCCCCCCCAACTGGACAAAATGTCAAATTTTCAAATTTCGAGACCAAAAAAAAAAAAAAAGTGTCCTCTTCCCCCCCCCCCCCCCCCCCCCCTCCCACATGTCATTTATTTGTAATCTTGAACATTCAGTGTAAGTTTCGTTTGATTCTGTGAGAATTATTATTTTTTTTTACCAGTACTGGAGTTTATCTTTAAGTATGTTTCCTCCAAGTAAAGTGCTATCCATAGCTTTGGTGACATTCTATTTACCGGTAGTCGTAAGAATTATCAGTTCTAGGCTACATAAATTTGGGTCAGGGGAGGACGCACTATTAATAATGAACAGGGGTGTGTATACAAGAAGACTTACACTGTACAAGAACACTGTAATATGACTGTATAATTATGTACATGTAGGCTTACAGTATTGCTTGGAAATTTGAAATAAAGAAAACACTCTCACACAGTGTCACGCATGACTGCATCTATTATTCCATAGAATTTAGTGTGACTTAGTGTTAGGGTGTCTACTTTATTTCAAGCAATACTTAATTAACACCCAAGTAACAGCAAATTCTATGGGTTAATACATGCACTCACGCGTGACACAGTGTAAGAGTGTTTACTTTATTTCAAGCAATACTTAATTAACACCCAAGTAACAGCAAATTCTATGGGTTAATACATGCACTCACGCGTGACACAGTGTAAGAGTGTTTACTTTATTTCAAGCAATACTTAATTAACACCCAAGTAACAGCAAATTCTATGGGTTAATACATGCACTCATGCGTGACACAGTGTAAGAGTGTTTACTTTATTTCAAGCAATACTGTACATGTACATACATTTAAATACAGTGTATTATATTGTAGCTCCAATAGTTATTTTTAATCTAATTCTATACTACCATTAAATGGTGAGTCCATTTCCATGACAAACATGTACATGTACCTATCACATCTAGTTGGATTCAAGAAACAATTTACATTACAAAAAATTAGAGAAACAGATTGTGAATTAAGAACATTACATGTATGATTGATTTTACAGTCATGATTGGTAAGACGAAAATTGGCAACTCTGCAACATCCCTCATTTACTTATTTAATACTTGTTGCAGTAATCCATTCCCAATCGCAGCCCCTTAGAAGCTACTTCTACTTCTACGTCAATACTTGACAGGATTTATAAGTCAGGATATACCGGTATGTAACGCCAAGGTTACTGAAGTGTGCAGGTGAACCACTACACCGAGGTTTCCCCCTACTTTTATACAAATAGTGCAGTGGGTTCTTAACGTGCAAGGGTGGTGACTCTCCTGTACACGACACCTCCATAAAACGTCCTATCTGAAGGACTGAGTGTTTTCACTTAACATAGCCTGCGTCTATGAAACAACCGGGAGGGGCACGTTAACACACAACGCAGGCTTCAGGCAGACGCTTTACCCACTGAGCCAACTCAGGAAGCGCGATAGCTCAGTCGTAGAGCAGTGGTCTTGTGATCCGGTGACCCAGGTTCGAAACCAAGTCGATGCGCTAGTGCCCTTTGGTAAGGCATTAATCCTCATTACCAGGTCCCTCGGAGAGGACCTAAAGCCGCCGCCGTCTGGTTGCTTACTTACAAGCATTTATGCTTTCTTAGCTGTCAGGTTATATAACCACCACCACCACTCGCCTACGGGATGTCATGTGCTAATGAAGGAGCCAAGGTGCAAAGTTCGTCTCACATAAGACTATAAATGTATGAAATAGCCTTTGGTTTATAATTTAACATCAATATTGTAAAATACATGTACAGTGCATTGTACATTGATGACTCTTCCTGGTTTTGGGGTTCTGAAGGCATACATGTAGATCTGATTCCTACAGGTGTAACATTTGCCACATAATGTAAAATATAAAGTTTCTTTAAATACACAATATACTGTATGTACAGGGAATAATTTTCCACAAATTTCTTGATTAGCAATTTCAGCTGATGGATAAATATTTCAAATGAAATTCTGTACATTTCTATGGAAGAAAACTGCTACACAAGATAATTTTGTATAGCAGTCATGCAAAAATGCAAAGCAAATTGCGATGCGATACCAGGAAAATTATTCCCTGATGTATCATATTTTGGGCACCCTTGGAGAGAATGTGTTTCAGTGAAGAAAATGAATATTCATTTCTTTTTAGCATGAATTTTTGTATAGCAAGACTGGATTAATTACATTTTATTGTGGGATGTGTCCAACGTCTGTGTAGTAAAAGAAACACTAACATATTTATACAAATCATATATATATATATATATATATATATATATATATATAAATATGCATAATAATTCATATTTACATGTATATTGAGTAATTGGACAAATTAAAAATATGCTACTCATAATGTCAGTACACGCATACGGTATATGTTTATTCACAGTAATATTTAACACACATGTAATAAAGTTTAAAAAAATACATACATGTAAGGTACAGTATATCAAAATCAAATACATGTACACTGTATATCTCAATAATATTAATAATGCATAGTCATATTATTAACTTGCTGGTCAACTTGAATATAGACCATGCACTCACACGTGTAACAGTATTTACATTGTTATAATTACACAGTGAGTAATAGTTTATTCAAAGTCTTTCCTATACTTAAGTTATAATAATTAATATACAAATATCTAGATCTAATAACACACATCCAATTTTTTAAATAAACATATTCCATGATACACGGACACTGCACTGCACAGACTATAATTTCACCAGCAGTACATTTCAATATGCATATGTACAGCTCAATCACAACATACAAAACAAAACAAAAACAAAACACTAGACTATGCATAGTTAGAATAATTAGATACATGTACATTGGTTTTTCTCTCTGTGCAATGTCAATGAATGACTGTATCATGTCATTGAGCAATCCACCAATGATATGTAAATTACCGTACACGTACCTTCACATATGTAACCTTGCCCAATGAAACCCCACAACATATCCGTACAATGGTGGCAAAATGTTGGCTTATGAAATGTCTTTTTCCCAAATGTATGCCCATGTGCGTCCATTCCACTATCTCTCACGGGATTCAAGTCTACTTGTCGACCAAAAAATGAAGTTGCCGGTGTGGCCATCTTGTAAAAATCTAGTTACAGGCAACGTTGCCCGAATATATCCGTGCAACCTCAATAACAACACAGCTTCTCAAAGCTGTACGGTCGTCGTACGTACGGCCGGTTGCGTACATAGCAAATACACACTGACACACAACATTACACACTATTGCGTTTGGAGCCAACAGCCCAGAGAGAGTGTGTCGCCGGTACTGTGGCGGGTCGTAAACGGGGTGAGAGTGTGTGCGATATGGCCCAAGCTAAAACCCAACCACCGTACACATTTTCGTTCGCACTTGTCGGTTTCTCTCCGTTACTATATAATTACACAGTAGAATTACCCGAACTATACTATTATACCGCTGCATGATAATGCTCGTATGGACATATGACTCTCGCTTTTGTGACATAAATTAATAAAAATAGATGGTTTGGTCATTATGTTGCGATTGTGTTAGGATAATAAACATAATCATAATCATCATCATCAAGATTCTCACTTCCTCCGTTCCGACGTCCCTTACATCCCCCCTTCCTTCCACTCTCCTTCCAACTCTCTCTCTCTCTCTCATGCTTATCTCTTTATATATATCTCTCTAGTTTCTCTCCACCCCCATTTTATTATCATTCTCGAGCTCTACTCCTCCCCCCTCCCTCTCTCTCTCTCTCTCCCCCCCCCCCCCCCCTCTCTCTCTCTCTCCCCCCCCCCTCTCTCTCTCCCCCTCTCTCTCTCTCACGCTTATATCGATCTAGTTTCTCTCCACGCCCCCTTTTTATTATCATTCTCGAGCTCTATACCCCTCCCCTCCCCTCCCCCCCCCCTCTCTCTCTCTCATGCTTATCTCTTTATATATCTCTCTAGTTTCTCTCCACCCCCTTTTTATTATCATTCTCGAGCTCTATACCCCTCCCCCACCCCCCCCCCCCTCTCTCTCTCTCTTTCTTCCCCTTCTGGCTTCTCCATCACCTCTTTTTTTTCCCTCTAGTTTCTCTCTCTCTCTCTCTCTCTCACGCTTATCTCTTATCTCTCTCTCTCTCTCTCTCTCTCTCTTGTTTCTCTCCCTCTATATATACCCATTTTCTTTTTATTCTCTCTCTCTCTATCCCTCTTTCTCTTTTTTTTTTTCTCTTTCTCTCTCTTTCAGAGGGGACCCTAATAATTACAAGCTCTGCTTTTGGTAGGGTCTCCTCGTCTTTCTTTTAGTTAACTCTGTTTTTATCATTGCCATAATTTGTTATTTTGCATTGTAAAATTAATGTGTAATGATCCAATGTGCTCTACGGTCATTTGAAAGAAAGACGAATATTATCTTATCTTATCTTATCTTATCTTTCTCTTCCCCTTCTCCGTCACCATTTCTCTAATTTCTTCCCCCTCCCCCTTCTCATCTGTATTCAATTATTCATCTCTTTTCCCTTATACTCTCTCTCTATTTCAATTACTCTCTCTATTTCTTTCTCTCTCTCTCTCTCTCTCTCTCTCTCTCTCTCTCTCTCTCTCTCTCTCTCTTATCCCACCTTTATTGCTAAGGTTTTATTAAGGCTACATAATTCTCGATCTTCATAAAAAATAATAAATGCGTCACAGAGCATATTATTATCTAATATCTAGCAATATCGGCCTGCCCCCAGCTTTTGTTTTCGTAATTGATGCCTGCGGCCAAGGTGATGATTGGTCTTTCCTGGTAATTTGTCTGGTGTATCCTGTTAATTGTTTGGTCTTTTCTTTCTTCGTATCTTTCTTTCTCTCTCTCTCTCTCTCTCTCTCTCTCTCTCTCTTTTCTTTCATTCTTTCTTCTTTCATTCCAATTGCCACCGTTGCTGTTGTCCCATGTGCACTAATCGAAAGTTGAATACACGTTGGCCTCGCCCCCCTCAATACACACACACACACACTTTTTTATGTGTGTGTGTGTGGGGGGGGGGGGGGTACTATTGTTGGTCTATATACTTCATCTACATGTGGTGTAAGATCAAGAAATAGTGAAATGATTGCCTCTAACTGTTTGAAAATTCCAAAGCAATATCGGTAGATCGCAAAAGTTTTGCTTGTGAAATTGTTGGCATACATTGTACTAAAAAAAGTAGATACAGCAGTACCATCCAAACATATTACCAGGTCTAGCGACGCCCCTACAAATTCCATCCATCCCCTCACCAACCCGACCTCGATTTCATGTTGTTGCCATGGATAACCCACTACTTAATCGTTTGTGCTTTTTGAAATGGTTCCGTTTTAATGTCCCGACCCGTTTTATTTTCATAAATTTATAAAATAATTTCTGTTATATTCGACGCCATAAATATAGGCACAATAATGGAGGATTTTAAACAGAAGTCGATGGAGTGGGGAGAGGAAAGAAAAGGCGAGGGAGAGAGAGAGAGGGGGGGGGGGGGAGAGAGAGTGAGAGAGAGAGAGAGAGAGAGAGAGAGAGAGAGAGATGCATTATATACACTGAAATTCTACACAAATAAAAGACACAGACAAACATAAAAAACTGAAAGAGAAACAGAAGAAAGAAAAGCAGAAGAAGAAGAAGAAGATGAAGAAGAAGAAGAAGATGAAGAAGAAGAAGAAGAAGAAGAAGAAGAAGAAGAAGAAGAAAAAGAAGAAGAAGAAGAAGAAAAAGAAGAAGAAGAAGAAGAAGAAAAGAAGAAGGAGAAGAAAAAGAAGAAGAAGAAAAAGAAGAAGAAAAGAAGAAGGAAGAAGAAGAAACAAGAGTAGGCTGTTTTATGAAGCTGACGTCAATCAATATAAGTTTCCTTGGGATATGAGGTGAGGGAGGCTTTGTGGAAACATGTTTTTTTTTGTTGCAAATGCAATGTGGCACAGAAACACGGCGTTGGTACCACACTTCTTAATTCCACAGAGTGTTACCACACTGTGGTACGTAACCACAGCACTACCACACTCCTCACGACTCTTAAATATTATGTTTTGAGAACATCATATAAGTTCCCACATGTAGCAAACGGGACCATAGCATGCATCATCGTTCATTCCACAGATCCACACTGTGATATAGATCCACAGTGTTACCACATTTTCGAATTCCACATACATGTAGTTTGATCAAAATATGATATGAATCCACAAGGTTATTATCACACATCCTAGTTCCAAAGTTTGACCACACTGTGGTATGGAACCACAGCATTACTACACGTCCCAGTTAGACATATATTTTGACCACACTCTAAGGAAACCCAATCGCATCAGATTCACAAAAATTGACCACCCTTTTACATTACTATGGTGCTAGCCGCGCACCCCGGTGCAACATTATGTTAATCGCACTGTCACAATAATGTACCCATGACGTTACCACACGTCCAAATGTTTAACATTGTTTGAATACACATGATAAAAAAAACTGTTATTACCCCAGTTCCATCAAGTTTTACCACACAATTGCACGGAACCACAGTGATGGAACAACATTCATTCGACACTGACGGATTCATAGTAGGGGGAAATACAGACCCCCTCCCATCAAAACAAAATATCATACCCTAAATACGCATTATCGAAAATGTGCCCCAATTTTCATATTTTTGACTCAAAAAGGCAACATTTATGTACAAGTAAGATGTTTGTTTTTTAATGTGCCCCCCCCCCCCTATGAAATCCAGCATCACCTAGGATAGTACCGCATAAAGTGACCACAGTGTGAACACAATTATACACATAGTTTGACCACACTGTGATTTGGATCTACAGCGTTACCATACGTCCCAGTTTAACATAATTATCTGCACTGTTCCTTTTACCTTGGTTGAAATGTTTATACTTCATATTCGCGACTATCAAATTGATTAAAGACGAACTTGTATGGGCAGAATGCATTTTATATTCGGCCTCCCAAAATCATGATGGTACCGGTATATTATGGATTCTTATTGTTTGGTAACAGTGATATCCAGACATTCATAAAACATTTTATAAATATTGCGGTATTAGCCTTATCGTATTTCATCGTTCGCTAGACCTAATGTACACACATCTATACGTCATATTCGACTATTAAATTGATTAAAGACGAACTTATATTTAATGGGCAGAATGCATTTTACATTCTATTCGGCCTCCCAAAATCATGATGGTACCGGTATATTATACATTGATTGTTTGGTTAGAGTGATATCCAGACATTCATAAAACATTTTATAATATTACGGTACTATTAGCCTTATCGTATTTCATCATGAGCTAGACCTAATGTACACCATTGACACAGTAATGTCTGTGTATTTTGTTTTCCTATGGGCATTGTGTTGTTATTATTGTGTTTCTTTTTTTCGTGTGTTGGCTTGCTAGCTAGCTTTTTCTTTAAATTTGATTTTAAGAAAATGGACACACAATCGCAATTTTTGCTTTAATTTGAGACAGAACAGGAATAGACATTAAATCTAACCATGGTAACAGTGTATACAATACACAGACAGTATGTCTGCGATCAGCATTAAGAAGTTAATGTTTAGATTTTTGTTTATTTATGAAATTTATTGACGGCGCAAACGTTTCTTGCAACCATTCTTACTTTTTTTTACAGAACCTGAAACAAAACTAGAACATGATTTCCCCCAAAATAGATGATTAACGATATTTTAAATCACCGTAGTCATCTGACTTACATGAATACCGAATCTACGCCAGCCGGATCCATCTGACAAATAACTTTTAAATATTAACAAACAAGGATGTGAAGAATATTCACAATCTAGACCATACAAATACAATCATCACGCACTGATCATAAATAACAAGTTAATGACCAAGAGTGGAGCATAATTTTCAAATGAAATGCTCTCTCTCTCTCTTTCTCTTTCTTTATTTGGCTCACTCCCTATCCCTCTCTTCTCTCTCCATCCCTCCTCGATCCCCTTCCCTCCCTCGACCTCTTCCTTTTCCCTCTTTGTCTTTCCCTACCTCCCTCGCTTTATCCCTCCGACCCCCTTCTTTAATTCCAAGTTCCCGTAGCTTTATTTCCCCTCTCTTAAAAAAAAAAAATTATTTAAAAAAAAACAAAGTGAATTTATTTTCTCAAAAAAGAAAGAAAACGGAAATCAGTAGCATCTTTTTGTTTCAATCTGTCAGAATCTTTTCTATCAAAATACTGTAATATGTGTGAACATTTATAAAAATTAAAGAAAAGGGCATGAACAAAAATATCGTTAGTTTGAAAGTGGTATGTATTTCTTGGAAGACATACTGTGGGCTGAGGGCTAAACAATGAACCCTTCGTTAATCTGTGAACACGGGTAGGCTTATCCGACTATCGTTCTTTTGAAATCTCTATGTAGAGCTAACATCCGTCTCAATATCTTAGTTTTTTATTAATTTGTAGAAAACAAGTCAACCCCTGTATAAATACATTTACTTTCCGTACCCTCCGGTTAATGCTCGTGACTCATTGTTGTTTGAATCTATGTTTACTTTATTTGTATGTAATGGTGGGAAACTGCTCTAGTTCTGGACGAGGGAGGGAAAGACAAAAAGTGAGAAAATACCGACAAGTGTAATAAGGGAGAGCTTTTGTCATCGCGTACAAGATGGCGCTATTCCAAAGGTCTTGCAGTAGAAACGGGAAACCATTTTCAGAATTTTCAGGAACGATGCAGACCCTTTTAAAATGTCTTTGTGGATGATGAATGAATCAGTGACATGGGTCTTTGTATACAAGGGGGAAATATGTTATTATTATTACCGTGTCAACTTGTTTTGGTTTTTTAAAGAAAAGTATGCTGGGATTGACATCACAGCACCCCTTCAATCGAGACCCATGTTCTCTTATATAGCCACATCGTTCTGGCTCTCTTTCTTACTTCACTTTCATTCTAAATTCTCTCTCCTTTACTTACTCTCTCCCTCCCCATTTCTCTTCTCTTCTCTTCTCTTTCTTCCCCCTTATTTCACCCTTCTCTAGATGTCCTTTCCAATTGAAATACAACTATCACAAATTTGCAAATCGTGAAATAAATTATACCTGGACACAAAAAGATGATATGACTCGATTTCTATTCAATGCAATTTCAAATAAATACAAACATATTAAGTCTTTGACCATGATCACTGTTCCCACAATCATGAATAATCAGTGCCATCTACTGAATATTCATGAACTGAGTATTCCCCCATACTTAACTGAACTAAGCTAAAACAAAGTACGTGTACATGATAACTGATCTACAATGATACGTTATGTCGACAAGCATTGGTCATTGATCGAACAGTAATGAACATGGCTATAATTGGGCAAGTATATTTCGATACTGGGACATGGTGCTTGAATAATGATATGTATATTCCTGGGTTCGACTATTCCATAACAAAACAAGACTGATACAAGACCCCATTGGCCTCTCCACAAAAGTTTCTCAACCAGGTAGACCTGAAGTCATTTTGCCTTTCCCAAAACCCTAATTTAATAGCGCATTTCAAAGAGAATTTCCTGCACAAAGAGAAACCAAGTTTAATAGATGTATGGAGATATCAAAATGTGTAAGTACATTCACAAATGTACATGCATTGATAAAAAGTAAATCATGATGGTTAATCATCTGTATGATATATATGCATGCAATCTCTCCATCACCAATGGCAGTTCTTTTTTAATCGTAAATATCCACAGCCATCAAAGCTATTACTGTAACACTACAATGATTACCCCCTTAAGAATATTTCTGGATTGGATTGTGATGCCTTACAATTATGTGTATTTTCACAAAAATCCAGGGCTTGATGCTTTACTCGAGGACCAAGACATGTTCAATCTGGACCCCTTAAAACATTCTAATGTACAGAGATTGGTTCTCACAGACCTGTTTGAAACTAATATATTGAGGAGCCCTGCAAAAGAGTAGAAAATATTGTCGATTTACTACAGAAGTTATATCTGAAATACTAAACTCAGTGCATTTTGGAAATGATACAATTTCAATTAAAAATATTCCAGACATCTATATAGACCACTATATTTGGATTTTGGAGAAAGATTTCCTACTATTATATAAAATGTCTCTGAACTACATACAATACACAAAAACAGTAGCACTGACATTAAAAAAAAGAAACAAACTCTCATCTGACTCATATCACTGTTGACCATAACATGGCAAAACTTTGTGTCGAATACTGGTGTTTAAAAAGTTAAACTGATTTATGAAAGTACATGTATGTCATTTTGAAGAGCAAGGATCACCATTGACCCCTTTCAAGACATAAACTTCAAACGTTTTGCCACATGATGGTCAAGATCATTATTTACTTAGACTATTTTACAACAATGAGAAGGAATGAATGTATAATATAACTAGATGGAATTCGACTGCGCGCAGTCGAAAATGATGCCTCCGTCATAGAGCAATTTTACAAACCAAAACAGAAGAAATTTTTCAAATTCAAGTTCAATTGTAATCCATTAACAGGTTCTCAGAATATCGTGATTACAAACAATTTCTCATATACATATATGACCCTTTGAACTTTGACCTCATGATCCTAATATCTACTCAGCTCATTGGCTCTGCAAGATATCCAGAGTTAAATAGTAATCCATCTGTCAGTTCTAATGAGAATGCGTTCACAAGCTATTTTTGCATACATAATGAGCCCATGACCTTGGACCTTATGAACCAAGAATCTACACAGTTCATTGGCTCTGCAAGATACATAAATGATCTAAGTTTGGCAGGAATCCATCAATCTGTTCTAATGATAACGCGATCACAAGCTGTTTTTGCATACATAATGGGCGCTGTGACCTTTGACCTTTGACCTCGTTACCCAAAATCTAATAAGTTCATCGGCTCTGCAAGTAACATACATGACCTAAGTTTGGCAGGAATCCATCAATCGGTTCTTGAGATAACGCGATCACAAGCTGTTTTTGCATACATAATGAGCCCTGTGACCTTTGACCTTTGACCTCGTGACCCCAAAATCTAATCAGTTCATCGACTCTACAAGATACATACATGACCAAAGTTTGGCAGGAATCCATCCATCGGTTCTTCAGATAACGCGATCACAAGCTGTTTTTGCATACATAATGAGCCCTGTGACCTTTGACCTTTGACCTCGTGACCCCAAAATCCAATCAGTTCATCGACTTTGCTAGATACATATATGACCAAAGTTTGGTAGGAATCCATTGATCCGTTCTTCAGATAACGTGATCACGAGAACGGGACGTACGTACAGACGTACGTACAGACGTACGGACGGACGGACGGACGGACGGACGGACGGACAACCCGAAAACATAATGCCTCCGGCTACTTCGTAACGGAGGCATAAAAATATACATAGATCAGTGGATCATATTGTGTTATATCATATAGGTATCGTTGAGTTAGGCTGATGGAAAACCCACTTTAACATTTCAAATTCAAATAATTCCCAATCCAATTTATCTAATGTCCCCAAATTGTCTTCATGGAAAAAAGAACAAATTAATGAGAAAAAAAAATGATTTCTGTTAAAGCAGCTAACTGCTAATGATATTATATATTGAAAAGAAATGTAGCATTAATGTCTCAGGTATATTATATAATAGACCTGACCTCTTTTACAACTTGATCTCATTCAACTAAAAAATAAACAAAAATGTGTACTTGGTATCATGTATTGCTGGACATGTATATTACCAGTATACCTCTCCAATCTAATGTGGGCATAATTCAATATTTTAACTATAAAGAATAGACATACATGTAGCTGTTCTTAAAAGACCATCAGAAACACCGGATATGAATCTTAAAAGCACAGCTACACTTTCAGATTTGACATTCTGTGAAGTTTATTTATATAATGTTGTTACAGTATGTGAGTTTTGTCAAAGTCTACTGAAAAAATCTGATCCACTGAATCATAAACACAAAGTTACCACAAAGGTTGACGGCTATTTCTTGACTGCACTAGATGGGGTTTTATTTGGAGGGCTGGACACCCGATTGCTTTAAGTGAAGGAGTATTGACCTAAAGCGGGTGATGTCCTTGAGGTTCTTGTTGTTCTTGGGGTTGAAGTCGCAGAGACGAGCGATGCGTTCCCACTCCTGCCCTGGTGTGATCTCGTCACGTTCCTGGATGAACGCCTCCTCAGCCGCCCTGAAGCAAAGAGCAAGAAAGAACGATAAGATTCTATGGTTATGTCAAATCAAAAATAAAGTAGTTGCACTTACAAAAGTAGTTGCACTTACAAAATTACTTGCATGATCAATTATGCAATTTTAATACAGTAGGGACTTATGATACACATCAGTTACATCCAAAAATATAATGATACAGATTAAATAAGCACAGATACTATATCCTACCAGACTGTGTTCAAAACCTGTAACACATAAAATTATACATGCAGGACTTTCTGTATTTACGGTACTATCTCTCTATTCTGCAATATCCTTGGCTCTATTTCTGTAACAGATGACCAACAAATGTTTGTCTCCCTTTTTTCATCTCAAGCTTTTATCAAGGGGCACCCTATTTAAAGTTTCCTTTGCTCTCTCTTTTATTGGTGGTAGGGCATACAGTATGTTGAACAGCTTGTACTTCCCCAAATACAAAGGAAGCTTTAGGAACTTGGTATAAGTTAACTTCTACAATCAACTCTTATTATAACAACGTAATTTTCCAGTGCCACTTCTTCGTTTTTCAATCATTTCATAGCCCAGATAAAACAAGGTAATAAGCCAGTTCGTAAATACTAATTGCGCATGGGCAGATAAAGGTCATTTGTTTCCAAATTGTAAAACCCATCAAGACGAATACTGGTATCGTGCTCATGAAAGTTATGTAATTAGTATTCATTCATGCACTGACAGTACATTTATCTGATACACAGGTTGAAGTATTCTTCTCAAGAGGCAAACAAAAGAAATTCATGAAGCACCTCCATCACTTCAGCAGTGATTATTCTCAAATTAAGTGGGATGTATCCATCCTGTAAAAATCTGTGGATATTTTGGGGTCATGCATTCCCAGGCTATTTACAAACTGGCTTATTCCCTTGGTTCCGAGGGGGCTTGTTACACCATTGTACATCTCAACAAATGACATACCTATTCGATGCCTTTGCTTTGACACCTTGCTCTTCTCGCCTAGCGTACCAGTCTGAGATCTCCTTCTTAGCCGAAACCTTCCATTCTACTTCTAGCTCGTCAGCTTCTTCATCTATAAAAGAATATGATAATACACAGGATAATGACAGACTGTCAATGTAATAATGGCAGTTAAACTTACTCTGTAACATTGTTGAAGGTTGATGAAAAAAATTGTGTAATTTTTGTTTCAAATGTTACTTATTATATTCCTTCTACTGTAGGCCTACTAACCCTCTAACAGGCAACAAAATCCTGAGAAAATCCTCAAACCACAAAGATATTTATGGTTTTCTATGAAGGTGTCCCTTGTCAAACCTTCTAAAACTGATCAACAGTAAATTCTCCTAACCATTTTTTAATTTTCCCAACTGTTTTTCCTTGAAAATAAGTCATAAAACAGGCTATAAAAAATCTGTCAACAATTAAATGTCTGGAATGGTATATAGAGCCAATGTATTGCTTTTTGATAATTTACATTCACCTAAAATGTAATTAAATTGTAATAATATAGTTGGGAGAATTAAGGAATCGATCTGATCAGTTTTTCCCAATTTTTATCGTTAATAATGGTCCGTTTTCACTTAAATTTTCAGATTATCTTTAATAGTACATCTAGCATTGAAGTCACTACCTTAGCACCATTTTCTCTACTAATATCCTTTATATATCGATTACCGGTAACCTCCGTCTGAACGTCACTTTACCGTTTTAAAAATTATATATTCTTGTGCATGCAGTCTGTCTATTTGAAAAGAATCCATGTGCAAAGAAATACATATTTGGATTTAACTCTCCATGGGAAAGTTAATTTTGAGAGATAGAAAGTTCAATACTTCAATTTTTCTTACAATGAAGAATCTGAAAAACATCTCACCTTTCTTTTCGAGGATCTCTTTTTGCTCTTCCCTCCATAGGCGGATCTTCTCTGGTTCATTTGCTCTGTTGTCTGCACTTGAGATGGCCGAATAAAGGTCTGAGGGTCCATTTGTTTGCAAGTCATCAGCGGGCTGTGAATAGAAGCAGACAAAGAAAAGAAGGAGAAGAAGGAGAAGATCAAGAAGAAGAAGTAAAAGAAGCAGGACAAGAAGGAAAAGTAGAAGAAGAATAAGTAGAAGAAGCAGGAGAAGAAGCAGGAGAAGAAGCAGGAAAAGAAGGAGAAGAATGAGAAGAAGAAGTAGAAGAAGAGGAAAATGTTGAGGTAGAGGAAGAAGAAGAAGAAGAAGAAGAAGGAGAAGAAGAAGTAGAAGAAACAGGACAAGAAGGAAAAGTAGAAGAAGAAGAAGAAGAAGTAGAAGAAGCAGGAAAAGAAGGAGAAGAATGAGAAGAAGAAGTAGAAGAAGAAAAGGAAAATGATGAGGAAGAGGAAGAAGAAGAAGAAGAAGAAGAAGAAGAAGACGAAGAAGAAGAAAAAGAAGAAGGAGGAGGAGGGGAAAGTGCAAAATTAATGTCACTGACATACATGTAACATATCATGGGAATTGATTTCTTTCTCCTCTTGAAAAAAATGTAAGTAATAGACAATGATTCAAATTTGAGAGTTACTGGGAATTTAGAAAGCCATTCGCCCTGTGTAGAGTGGAAGGGGCTAACGAGTACAATTGTTGTGATAGCAAAAGCAAAATTTACATAAATGTCAACACCGAGAAGACTGCTTCACAAACATTTGCCCTTTGACTGCTACAAAGGTCAAGCATAGCTTTCAGAAATCACTGTAATCTTACCGTTTCACTATCCATGCCACCACCCATACCACCACCCATGCCAGCAAGGGGATCTAGGTCATCTTGTTGCTGAGTAGCCGGAGTTGCATCTACAAAGAGAAAATAAGATATCAAAACATGTTATGTCATCAACTCAAAATACAAGTTTTAACACTCAAGGGATAATAATAATAATAATACTCAGTTTTTATATTATTATTATTTAATATTAAGGCCATGTAAAATTGATTTCATGTTGATCGTCCCCGCCCGCTTCCTTTTTTGGGGCCGCCTCCTATTTTTTGTTATTTGTTATTTGTTATTTGTTTTTTTTTTTTTTTTTTTTTTTTGAAATTTTTTTTGATTTTTTTTTTTTTGAAAGAAAAAAAACATGAAAAACACTGCTAAAATGGCTCTATTTCTGATTTAAAAAAAAAAAAATTGTCGGCGGCCATCTTGAAAAAAAATAGCCTCGACTGTCAGGGAAAATGTACCGAGCGGCCATTTTGAGCGGCCATTTTGAAATATCAAATATCAAATAACATGGTACACCCTCCTCCTCTTTTTCAAAAAATCCGGACGATCAACATGTAATCAATTTTACATGGCCTAATACGACTAGTGGATCGTAAGGGGCACTGGTCCAAGAATAAGGATTGTCTTCGTAAATGCGGACAGACAAGAAAAAAATAAGGATCGTCGGCATTTTCACGGACGCTTGTAATGCGAAAAAACAGATTCCGCAATGATTCTTTTGATGCATTTCACATTGACTTTGTACAGAGACTTTCACGTTATGAGCGATAACTCATTGGAAAGAGGGACAACCCAATGTACTGGGGGTATTTTATTACACAGAATCCGTTTTTTTCGCATCACCAGCGTAGGGATCGAAAATACAAACTTTAGCGAAAACGCCGGTGATCCTTGTTTTTGTGAACGCATCTGTCCGCATTTATGAAGACCATCCTCGTTTATGCGTACAATCCTGACCTTAGGGAACCCGAAACCGCAGAGCTTCGATTAAACAAATTGTCTGCGAAAATGCAGACGATCCTTAGAGGGTCTACTTTTTAAGACGCAATTTGTCCGCGTTTATGCGGACAATCCTCATTTTTGGACAAGAGCCCCTGCTGCAAGGAATGGATGGTTAAGATTCATAATTATTTAAAGTCTTGACTACATCTGAATGAATTTTGTTGTTGTTATCGAATTCAAAGGTCAAAGTAAAAGTCTGAGTCATAGTACTACCGGCGCCGGTTATAGTCATACATTCTCAATCTCATCACAATGCAATGCAGAGCAGTTGCACACACATTTACGTTGCGGCTAGCTAGCCTACGTCTACGGAAGGGGATTTGCCATTCACCAGCACCGAATCACTACATACATACCGGGGACGGTTTGTGCGGGATCTGAACCAATTCCGAAGTCATCATCTTCAATTCCAGCAAGTTCATCCTGTTCTCTGGCTAGAAATGCTGCGGCGGGATCTTCCTCGGTGGCTGGAGGAGGATTTTCGGCAGCAGGAGCTTGGAGATCATCGAACTCAGCCATACCATCAGCCATGTTTAATGTGGATTAGAAAAATCTGGTTCTGGTTAACGCGTCCAACATATAACATGCACCTTCCTAATTTCGCTCCCTACACTATTGGAATTCGAGATACAATCTAGACGTCAAAGATGAGTAATGGATACTAAATATTCCCTAATAATACATGAGCTACCACGAAAGTTTCTTGAAAAATGAAACAAAATCAATATGGTAACTTATAGAATTGATAAAATGGTAACATATTAAAACATGTCGAGCTTGGCTAATCATCGCTCAACACCGGGCGATGCAAAATATGTCGATTTAGAGGTTGGGCGAACTTGGCGACCCGAAACCGGCTGTACATTAGTATGCAAAATGTATACTGGGCGTTCTCGGAAGCTTTCGGATCATATCGTCATAACTCGGAATCACGCCCACCTTTTCCACTGATGACTAAATGATTTTGGAAAGGACTTCGAGATCACTTTTATTTTATTTGCACAATGCAGTACTCTACGGAGCCCGGGAAGGGACATGGTAAAAATATTTTTATCTCGTTAAAACGAGATAGTTATCTCGTTTTAATGAGATAGTATCTCGTTAAAACGACATAGTATCTCGTTTTAATGAGATAGTATCTCGTTAAAACGACATAGTATCTCGTTAAAACGACATAGTATCTCGTTAAAACGAGATAGTTATCTCGTTTTAATGAGATAGTATCTCGTTAAAACGACATAGTATCTCGTTTTAATGAGATAGTTATCTCGTTTTAATGAGATAGTATCTCGTATAAGTCCATTGCATACTGGAACCGGGTGGTCCCTGTATTAAGCCTATGGGAGTGAGAGAATTCAGTAGTCCACGGGTTAACAACATAATACCCGCGAGGCTAGACCAGGCCCCCCAAGCTCCGCCATTTTGTCCGGATCCATTAGAAGCCAAAATAAGCCCCTTGCATAATTCATGAGCCCTATGAATTATGCATTCTGAAGGATGCTCCCCACGAAACGTGTCATACTGCGTGTCATACTGCGTGGTGTACTGGAATGATGTTCACTACATGGTAAAAGACAACACGCGTATATGGGTAATTTATTCATCACGCTGCGCGCCAGCAACGCAAGTGATTCAGCGAATCAGCGTAGATTATTCTGATGCGATCACCGTTAGGTGAAATACGCGCTCGAACTTGTATTATCGATCACCAGTATATATATAATATATGTAATATGTAATATTCGATATAACTAGGTTGATTGTAGTCTGTACTTTGTTCCAATATGTTATAAATTATAATATGTAATAGGGATTAATTCATTCAATATAATTGAGATTACTGTATTTTGTACTCTGTAATTGGTTTCAATATGTTATATATTACAATTTGTATGAATTAATATTATTTATTGAGTGAATACAATAAAGAATATTACAAAACAAAAAAAAATATAACAGCTGGTGTACCCAGAATGCATCGGGAAGTGGACCTCTCGTTGTTGTGTTGTTGTTGTTTTTAAATATGGGGGAGTGGCCTTAACTTCATTGAATAAGAAATACTGATCCGATCTTATTCCCTTTTTAGTCTATCAATAACTGGGTCTGTTTTTGTTTTATTAACTCAAACATGCTATAAGCCATATAACAACACATTCTCTGGCTATGATTATACATGTTAAATATGCTAATGTATAAAGTGTCCTTATTTTATACAAACAAATTATGTGGCAAAGAGGATGGTTTTTCTCCACCCACTCTCATCGTACCTTAATGATTCCCCTTCTCTCTCTTTCTCTGTCTTTCGTAAATTATCTTCTGCAACTAACGGTTTGTTGTCTTGACTGAACAATCTGTTGCAGTTCCTTTCTGTCTCACTTTCAGTCGTAATACCATTCATTTACATTTACTCGTTATCAACTACGATCAACCATTGATCCATATTCACTCCATTACTGTCCACATTTCACTTGGATTATCTTCACTTTTCCTTTTTGCAGCCTTTGCAGGAGCTTTGAACATTTTTAATGTAGAGACCAGAGAGATCGGAAAATATGTTAATCATTTTATTCGAATTGAAAACGGAAAGTGAAACATTGTTTTTCAATATCTTGACATATTTTTTGTTTAAAGACAATGGAATTTAACACTGGAAATTTTGAATTGGGGCGCCCCCCCCCCCCCTCCAAAAAAAAAAAAAAAAAAACAGGAGTGGTACCAGGGTTAGTTAGTTGGGAGGCCCATGTCCTTTATAATTTTATTTTTAGGAATAGTTTTCTCTTTTTTATCAATTTGACATTGGTATACCGTTAATTTCACTGGGAAAACCACCCCTTACCTTACACATCAATACTGTCATTACTTCTAGTAACAGTAATTCTATAATTCAAAACGTTTTCATTTTCTAAATCCTTCTAATATAAACACATAACAAATATAATATTGTTTACACTTTTGCAACCTGTTACATGGTCCATTTAGAAACAGCACCAGGAAGAGGATAACAAGCCCCCCCCCCCCCCTGTTTTCTTAAGCTAGGAAGTATCAAAACATGATTCTATTAAAATTAGCAGTTTGGATACAACAGGCAATGATGATTAGCAGTTTCCATATTTAGTGCATTTAGAGGGTTGTCTTTCAAACCTTCTTACATACAATACTTGAAGCAGCAATAATGTAATAATCTACAAAACTTCAAATACAGAAGTCCATAGACTGAGGACAGGTAAATGAATTTCAACATGTATAATTATAATTATAAATATCATTGATTGATTCAATCTTTGATATAGACTGATAAATCTTTATCACTCAAATTTCAAGGAAATTTCTTTCTGCCCAGCACTCAGTTTCATCCTATAAGATGGTAGTTGACATTGTTAAAATGTCATTAATGTTTATTCATTGATGATTAGTTATCTTTAATTATTTGAGAGTTGACAAGATGATAAATTCATTAGCTTTTTTTAAATGTGGTATTCTACAAACATATAATACAAATAATAAATAAATAGTATGTAAATATTCAAGATTAAGCCCATCTCTACTGTCCTCTTTCATTATATGAGGGGGCATCTTTAAGACGTAGTCCCATGTAGATGTCTTCTGCATTCAACGATGAAGTTGTAGGCTAGTTTTCAGAAGAAAGGGCTGTGATGATAACCCAAGTCTGTTGAATGGAAAAATGAAATAAGATACAGTGTATAAGAAAATAAACAACAACTAATAACATACACCCTGATACCTGCTCTGACAAAAAGAGGAAGGACTAATATTCACTTGGGGTTCTAGTGGGAAAACCTAAACTTTTTTCCTACAAAACTAGTTACTGACCACATGTTAGATTATTCCTGATGATCCCATTAAGACAATAGGCCTGATGGAGCTTGGATCAGACAAGTATGAAATAAGTAATACTGGTACATGTACAATGTACTTGTAATGTAAACTTGTGGTCATAAATGAATAATACTCGGTTTACATAAAATGACCAAACAACTTGGAACAGAGAATGTACAGGAAATAATGCTATTGAAACATACGTTATGTAGACTTATATTTCATGTATATTGACATTTTAGTTTTAATCTAAATCACAATTGTGATATTCAGTCAAGTATTCTTTTACAAGTCAATGGACAATGAAAAATATAACTGTCAGATCTATAACTTTCTGCATGATAAATGTGTCCTACAATAGTTTATTGGGGGTACCTACATGGTATATTAGCACACTTGCTTGTATGAAGTGCAGTAGGCCCACATCTCTAGATATGATTCTGTCAATATCTGTTCTTTATTCCTCTCCTGGGTTTGTAATCAGCATGCTTTCATCATCCACTGTAGAGAAGCATCATCCTACATAAGAGAAAGCAATGTAGGTATTTCAATTAAAAAGTGATAATAATAGATACAAATCAACCATAACTCATCGTATAAACAGACTTTCGTTAATCTTATGTTGTGTTCTTCTTCATCTTCATTGCTCAAGAAGTGAAAGGACCACTTACAAAAAAAAAGTAATGAGTGGTCCTGTGTATACCCTACATGTATGATCATTATCATTATTATGTAGTGCTTTGAATGTGCATTAGACATCGTTCTTCTACACACAGGACCTCCTGTAAATAAGGACAAACCCCTTTGTAAACAAAGAAAGGGAAGAACTAGAATAAAATATTCCCTCCACTATACACACTTGAAACATACACTTAGTTCCATTTCCTTTTTAGTGAATTAATAGGTGGTCGTTTAATATTTGTGTGCTAAATATCCTGAAAATTTTACCTGCATGGGACTTTCAGCTTCATCTTGAAAATATAAGAAATGTTGTAATGTCTACTCATCAGTTAGCTCCTTCCAGCTCTTCATCAGTTTCCATCTGTTGGAACAAAAAGAAAACAAAATCAATACGACAATCAAGGCGTCCCTTTCTCCTTAACAAAATAAAAATAGATCTAGCATAAAAGCTATTTTTCACGTCATGGTTGGCCTTAATTTTAATAAAGTGTGGAAATCAACATTCCAATTTAATGGACCACAGTACAAAGTAAAATCAAATGGAAGATTTAACTTGTGCCTCAAAAAGTGCTTCATATGGCCTATAAATATAAAGTAGTCTCAAGTAGAATTGGTTTATTAAGACAAGAAGAAGTGGACTTCATGAGTAAACATAATTGTGGAAAAGGGGTCTTCTCTTACACAAATAGATTTATCAACATGATCTGCACAATTCAAAGAAAAAAATCTCTAATAATATATTAAAAGTAATAACAGGAGTCAGAAGCGTACGCAGGGGGGGGGGGGGGGTAAACCCCCCTACCTTCATTTTTTTTTATGTGTATGTTTTTCTGGAACCCCCCCCCCCTTTTTTTAGAGTTGGTTTTTTTTTTGTTTTTTTTGTTTTTTTTAATACAAAAAAAAAAATCCAAAAGGATGACCTAACCCCCCCCCCCCCCCCATGCTTATTCAGTGGCTGGCTGAGTCGTTGCGAAATTTTTGGTCCGATTTCAAAATGTTAACCCCCCCCCCCCCCCCCTCCCCCTTGAAAAAATCCTGCGTACG